AAATCAGCATAAGAACTAGAAACCCATAAACTTTAAATGACAGTCAATTAGAGTAACTAACTTCGTATACCACCTTTCTATAACTACAAGTCTACAATAACATACCCAGTGTAATCCCTTCTATTACTATATGACTACAACTACCTTCTGTATCTAAACATGAAAAATGAATGTTAATCCTATTTACCGATCAATTAGCTATAGATTATCAAAAGAATCTACAACAATATACCAAGTGAAATCCCACTAGGTGGAGTCCGGGGTAAAAGAATCTACTGGTGATGAAATGACTTAATTTCATTTTTTTTAAGTATAAAACCGCAATATTTAATAGTTTAATACAAGGATTCTAGATAGACTTCAAGAAGAAACAACTGATAAGATTCAAGCCATTTTCATCCACCTACATAAGAGTTCAATTTATGACGATAAGTTTTAAAGTTTGGAAATGCAAGTTTTTGTATTTTATACCAAATTCCTTGTATTGTTTGAATACTTTCCTCTTGCTTTGATAGCAACTTATTGAGTAGTCCTGTTTTAAATAGTAACTATTACTACATCTTTCCTAGTGGGAATTTGAATGTCATTCTTACTAATATCTGATTTGTCCCACCTACTAATGAACTAACAACTGTACTATACAACAAATATTTATTCAAACTTTCACGTGTGTCCACTCCCAAAAGTGCCACCTGTTAGATCCCATTTTTCTTCATGTCTTAATCAAAAGTCTCCTGAGGTTAATGCTCTGACGGCGAGCATGGGGCATTTCACTTTGGACCTTCGAATTCTATCCTCTAGAAAAACTCTTACAATTAAGAATATTAATATTTAATTCGAGGTGGAGGTAACAAAATTTAGTTCCTCTTTTAGTGATTCGTTCAATCTGTCCATCAAATTGTAGGATCAAAGTTATTGGTGCATGGGTGAACAAAGGTCTTATTGGAAGGACGTAATGTATAAATGAGTCATTTAATTTGACGTCAATTGATATTTATGCTCTTCAATTTTGCATGTATAAACACACTTAAATTTGTATAAAATTGAACAAATAAACACACGCGTCCTACTCCTACCTCACATATTACACGTAGAGCGCCATGTATAATGCAAATTGCCACATAAAGCACCATGTAGAACACATGTATCTACTTATTCAATTTTATATAAGTTTGAGTGACAAATTGTGCGCCCCCAAATCAAAGGGCATAGATGCTACTTGAAGTCAAATTAAATATATTATGCCTATTGGAAGCTGATAAGGAAAAGAAGTCGCGGGTAATTGTTAGTTCAACTGGTGTGAGTTTTTTTTGGAATAAACAGTATGAGCTTAGTCTAAAGTGAACAATATGTCACACACCATGTTAAGAGCATCTTTAAACTAATTTCACACAACTAACTTTACCCCTAGCTTGAAGACAAATACACATAAAAAGAAGCTTTATGAACTTTGTTGGCCATAAATATAGATGATGTAGGTGAAATACAATTAATATCCAAATAAGCTCATAGCGATGGATCATGAGATAGTTGAAAAGAAGAAAGCTACATATAAAATATAAAAATATTTTTAATGGCGAAGACCTTGAAAAACAGGGTCGGAAGCAGATAACGTTAAACTAGGGTGTACATGGCCGGGTTGGTTCGGGGTTTTTTAAATATCAAATCAAATCATTTGTGTTGGATTTTTAAATCTATAAACCAAACCAAACCAATAAAACTCAGGTTCTTCAACCTCAAGTTTTTTCGGATTTTTATTCATATAAACATATAATTTACTTGTACTTCAAATATTTCTTTAGGCCTATCAAAATACAACTATCTAAGGTGTTTCTTAAATAAAATAACGCAAAATATGATATAATTAATGACACTAAAATATCCAACAAAAATATAATAATAATGACATCATGTAAAACAAATTTTGCAAATTAACAAGTCATAACGAAAATGATCATAATTTAAAAGTATTAAATCATGCTATAATAAGTTTAATAAGTATTAGTTACATGACTAAATATTAAAGGAAATTAAAATTAGATTATGTATTTTAATTGTCTAAACCAATATAAAACCAAAGATCAAATATTCAATATTATTCTCATTCTTAGTGTTGAATTGATTTTCTTTTTGCATTAGTATTAATTTGATTTTGATTTAAGTTTTATTATAATTACCAACATCTGTGGACTATAATCTTTATTGAACCATTCAGAATTCTAAGTTTCAAACTTGAAATAATATATTAAAAGATAAAAACTATGAAAAAGTATAAGAAATATTTAAAAATTATAATCAAAGCAAATATTTTTTATGTATAAAATAAAATTTTAAAATTATATATATAATGTCGGGTTGGTTTGGATTCTGATTAATTTTTTTTAGTTAAAACCAAACCAACCCAAATATAGTCGTGTTTTTTTTTTCCAATACCAAACCAAGTCAAACCAACCACTAGTCGAGTTTTTTTTTCCAGTTTAACTCAGTTTGCGATTTGATTTGATTTTCGGTTCAATTTTGTACACCCCTACATTAAACCATGCTAAGAGTACCATTTTTATTTAAAGCAAAATAAGGCAACTTGTTTTACCGTATAAAGCTCAGTGGGAACATGATTGAGGTTCGATTTCCTAATAATATTAGAAAATGGAAGGGAGAATTTGATAATGAGACAGAATTATTAGGTTTACAGATAAGTAAATACAATTAGGCCTGTCTCCATCATTCCAGCATCATTACACATACGCAAATCCAGAAGACTTTGTGTGCATGCATCGGTTCGGCAGAGCATTAACCAAAGGTTAAACAACAAAATCATTGGTGTATTCAACTCAGTTTAAAATTACCACTTTTACGCCCACATTAGTTCTTACAATCTTAGCTCGGATACTTTCTTTTAGAGCCAAGGATCTATTGCAAGCAGTCTTTTCTACCTCACAAAGATAGGAATACGGTTCGAGTACATCCTGCCGTCCCAAGATCCCACTTGTAAGGTTATACTGGGTATGTTGTTGTTACACATACACATTAGTCTACAAAGGAGTAAAATTCCTCCTAACCAAAAGATATAAAAAGTATTAAGGAGATAGCAATGGTACCTTCTTACTTTTGCAAATATGTACACTTCATACAACTCCCCGATATCCACGGAAAAGTACTCTTTAAAGATTTTGCTAAGTCATTTTCTCCAGCAGGTAAACCTGCACTACATTCTATTTAGCAACGGTAATCATGATAAATAATGCACTTTATAGTTTGTTGCACTTAGTAAAAGAAATCTTATCCCGAATTTCTCACAGGATACTTAAGAATTAAGCTTCCATTTCAGCCTTTACACAGACTATCAATAGAAACATGTATACAGTACATGAAATATAAAAAAGAGAAGATTGAAAAGGCCGGCACACAATCCTGACATTTATTTTTACTATTATAAGAATGAGTTATCTGCGACAAACTTGACATCACATTAAGGAAACAAGAATAACATATAAAATATAAAATGTAATCAATGTGTAAGTAGCCTTAAGTTCATGTCATCACCTATCATTTGTCTATTGTCCTTGAATACTTCACAGAACAGTGGACACAACTGTCGAGCTTATATATTATAGTACTCAACTTGTTAAAACAAGGACAGTTTCTCATGACATTATATCTCAAGTGAATAAAGGTCAATAAGATAATCATAATACTACAGAGTGGTCAGAATGTGAAACCAATCAACATTAAGTTCGCAATAGGTTGGATAGATAAAAGATTATAGAAGGTAACTGGTTGATATTAAACAAATCCACATCTTAAGCAAAATAGTTCAATTAATAATCATCACTCCGATTCTCAAGCTTGTCTTCTCACCTTAGAGAAAAGACAGCAGTAGGCAACTTGAGATCAAATGTGTAAAGAGAATCTTTAAGCCATCTATAGATAAAACTTCTGTGTGTGTGGGGGGT